TCCTCTAGAACAGCCCCCCTCACGGGTACACTCATAAATAGATCTGTTTCCTAGGCGTGATACTGTTCTTGGCTATCATCTTGACTACATCTTGTATTAGCTAAAACTCAAATGGCTAGGTACACCTGTGAGGGATCTTTCCTTAATCACATCTTCAGAGGTGGGAAGATACACAATTAATCTGGGCCACACCTTCTGCTGGCAGCTTTTGCTCTCTGCCAATCTACTTCTTTGGGATCTTGCATATACTGAAGACTAGCTGAGACAGCAGCCTTATGAACTGATCAACTACTGGATTTTTGGAATTTCTGTTAGTAAACAGTTATAGCTTGACTAGCTGGACCACAGCCTGTAAGCCAGTCTGATAAATCCCCTTTCTATATAGAGAGAGGCCACAGAGGGAATGAATATATATATTTTCATTCTATTAAGTTCTGTTCCACTAGAGGACCCTACTACACTAAGTTAGTCTAATCTAGTCAAGCTGACAGTGAAGATTAACTCTTTTCTACTCTGATACCATCCTCCTACACACAAATGCACTTTTAAATCTAAATCTAGATTCTGCACGTGAACTGTGGTATTTGTCTGAGCCTGGCTTCTTGCACTCAATGTTCCATCCATTTTCTGAAAATGTCATGGTTTGTCTATCTGTTGATGGGTGTCACGGCTGGTTTTCTCTCCTGGCTGTTGTGCACAGTGTGAGCCGTGAGTGTGGCTGTGTGAGCGTGCGTGTGTTATAATCGGGAGTGCTGTGGGAGCTCTAGTTTTAGTTGTTTTTATGTGTATGTATGAATGCTTGCTTGGATGCCTGCACATCATGTATGTGCCTGGTGCCCGCAGCGGCCAGAAGAGAGGGTTGGATTCCCCCAAAGTCATTCATTCTTTTTTTTTTTTTTTTTTATCCAGACAGGGTTTCTCCCTGTAGTCCTGGCCGTCCTGGAACTCTGTAAACCAGGCTAGCCAGGGTTACTGGGAGTAAAATCATGTGTCGCTGCACCCCGCTTCATCATTCCTTTTCATTGTCAAATAGTTTCCATGCATGGATGCAGCAGCTCCTTGACCTGCTCATCACCTGAAGGGATTTTAGGTAGTTTCTAGTCTTGGGTGATGATAAATACGGCTTCTACACCAGCTCACAAAGCTGGTGTGGGGGCTGTGGGATAAAAGCCACTGACTCATACCCAGAAAGATGGGGAAGTTGAGGGCCATAGAGGAAATATGACCAAGGTTCCTGCAGAAAAGCAGCAGAGCTCTGTCCCTTCAATTGTCACTCCACTGCATCGGGCAGTCACTGACCACACCCAGCTTTGAACACTGCGATACAGAGAACTGGAGCCACGTGGGAGGTGCAGGCACCCACCGTGAACTCCTGGCATCCGGTTCACCGGCTTTCCTTTTGCACCCGCAGGTCTGATACCTGGCGCCTGGTGAACCCACCAGCACGACCCCACCTTGAAAACTCACACAGGGGCTCCTCTGCAGCCCACAGTGGGCACAAGATGACAGCCATGGCGACCAGGATAACAGCTCGTGTGGAAGGAGGTTACCATAGCAACCGCAGCATCTTCTGTACCATCCTATAAGCAAGAAGGCCTGCTTCAGGCCCAGGCCCCAGTGAGTGCTCAGAAGAACTAAGGCTAAGATTCTTGGGACAGAAAGTTATGCCTGGGAAGACTCCTAGATCCGCCCCACCTTATCCACCACTACTCCTGAAAAGTGGGCGTAGGCCTCCTGGGAACTAAGAACAAGGTACCTCTAAAACCCTTGAGCTCCACAGCCTTTGGCAGGAAGGAGCCTGGAAACATTTCCCCAGGAGAAAAAGGAATAGCAGTTGGAGTGTTTCCAGTCCCCCAGGACAGAGGTTATGAAGAGCTGCGGAAGCCAGACTGTACATGCAGTTTGTAGGTCAGTTATCCCAAGCTACAGAGAACCTCACTTTGCACAGCCCAAACCTAGACTCTTCTCAGGGTTGAGAGTACGTACTTCTGATCAAGGATGGAACTGTGGTGAGGTGGAGACAACTGCCCCATTTCCTGGACCTGCCCCTCTTGGTCCTTCTTGGCACTGTACCAGCCTCCCAGCTGCCTCTGGGGCCTGGGCTGTTTTTATTAAGACTGACACATGGCCCCGTGAGCAGGAAAGGGGCTTGGAACAAGGAGTTCCTCCTGAAAAGTTGCCCCAGGAATGACAAGGGGACATGCTGTAAATAAGAGGGGCAGGTGGCAGGCGGTTGCTGGGCCGGGCCATGTGGGGATAAACAACCGCCCCTGTCCTCAAAGAGTCCCCAAGTTCAGAGCATCAGCTCAGCGCCTGTCACAGGCTTCAGGCTGTATGTGAACACACATTGCAGCTGCCCCTGCAAGCTTCAGCCCGTCTAGACAGAGGTACCCTCTGACGTGTCCATGTCCTCATGGATGATTAGCTGCCTTGACCAGCCCTCCCTCACTCCCCACTCTGTGCCTTGGCTTGAGCTTGTTTTTTCTCCCTGGCATGCCCTTCCCAGCCATGTCCGTGTGTAGATCTGCCCTTTACTCAAGGTTTAGCTCAGACACTGCCATCTCCTCATGACTCTGCCCTTGCCCCAGGTGATAGTGTTGTCCGCCACGCTGAGCCTTGGTCGCCCTCCTGCTCCCTTTCAGGTCACTGAGCACTTTCTGCCTTGCTTTGGAACTCTGGGTCCATACGCTGTCCTGCCCATTTACCTGTGAACTCTGAAGGTAGCGCCACCTCTTGTGTGTCCTATGCCCTAACCCAGAGCCAGAGCTGAGTTAGTGGCCTAAGTGGTGAGAAGGCCAGCTCCCAAAGGGCTTCTGTAGACTGTACTGTGAATGTGACAAGCTTTGGGAGCCAGGTGGGCCCGGACCCCACTGGGGAGGGGGACTGTATGCAGGGCCAGCTCTGCCTTCATCCCTTTCCGACTTGGCCTTTACTGCAGGGCCCATGCCAGACTTTGGGGTCACTGTCCTGCACTGGGCCAGACCCCATGCTGGTTCTGTGGAGCCCTAGGTGCTGCTGTTGGGTGGGTGGGAACAGGGCACTCTGACTTCTCCCTGAGCACTCTGGGAAAAGGAAGACTGGCCTTTCCCACCTGCATCATTGTCCACTGCACTGTTTGGTGGCCCCAATGTGAGTCGCTGTATCAAGTACTGCCTTGGTTTTGTAAGAAATGACTCTTCTGTGAACCAAGTACTTACAGAAATCTCAATAACCAAATTAAAGTTCTATATTTTAAAGGAGGCGCTTCCGGGGTCTTACCTTGATCCACACATTTCCTGGAGTGTCAAGTGACCAGTAGGCCTCCCCACAGGTGCCACTGCCTGCACGGTGAGACTGCAGAACTTGGGACCCTCATCAGCTTGCTCCCGCCATAGCTCAGAATTCAGAGCTGAAGGGTCTCCATATCAGGCAAAAGCTGTAGCTCTAGTCCTGCTCAGGGCCCTTTCGGAAGACAAACAGGGGCTCTGTGTCTTCATTGGGATCACCCGGGGAGCAGGGTCTTCAGCTACATGAACATACCTTCCTGGACTTGGGTTGCTCCTCAGCATCCTAGTTTTTGCTGTACCTCCTCAGGCTTAGCGCTGCTTTAGTATTGCTTTTTTTACATTCATTTTGTGTGTGCACACATGTACATGTGCCATAGCACACATGTGGAGGTCAGGAGACAACCTTTGGGGAAGTTGGTTCTCTCCTCCCATGTAGGTTCCAGGGACTGAATTCAGGTTGTCAGGCTTGGGGGTGGGAGTGGGGCAAGGGCCTTAACACTAAGTCATCTCCTGGCCCTAGTATTAAATATTTTTGTCAACTTTCTTAATCTTAATTTTTTTCCCTAGAAAATGGTTTAACTCTCAGCAAGCTCACTCCTGAGCTAAGGTAAACTTTCCTCTTGACTCCCTTTCTTCTGGACAAGGGGCATTCAGGGACAGTTCCCTCTTGCTAGCATCTCTTGTGGGCTTCTTACTGCTTTGCTTTTGAAGCCATCATGTTTAGTTGAAGCCAGCCTTGAACTCTGGTCTCTCCTAGAACCTAGCGCTCATGCTTTTCAGCTGGGCTGGCAGCTAGGAAGAGCCAGTGGCTTTTCTGCCTTTGCTTCCCAGTGTTGGGAATATGGGTGCTAGGTTCCAAACATAGGTGTTTGTGGGACCTTTAACCATTGAGCTCTCTCCAATTTGTTGTTGTTAAGCCCTGCTGGTGTGGGTGTGTACATACCACAGCTCACCAGTGGAAACAGGGAAATTTGAAGGAGTTGGTTCTCTCCTTTCACAATGTGGACCCATGAAAGGCTTTCTGTCGACTTCTGTCTTAACTCCCTTGCAGAATCATGGCCACAGGATCATTTGGTTCTCTAGGTACAGCTCCCCTCTCCAGACCTCAGAACTTTATTATCAGTAGTGGGTCTGTCAAGACCTGAAACCAAAGCCAAGTGAGGCCACCAAGTTGATGACCCTTGCTCTCCACATTGTATTCATCTCCAGTCCCCATGCCTTGGCTAGCCAAGCCTTTCTTTGTGGTCTGAGCAAGGAAGAAAAGCTGTGTTATCACTTCCTGATTTGGCTGCACCATATGATAGCAGGCTGTTACATCAAATCCCACTGCCAACCTAACAGAGCCAGGAGCCTCCTCCAAGCCCTGTGGAGCTCAGCCCTCCTTTACCTACTCCATGGGCCTTCTAGGTCCTATTTGTTTCTTTTTCAAGACTGGCTTTCTCTGTAGCTCCAGCTGTTCCGACACTAGATCTGTAGACCAGGCTGGTCTCGATCTCTGGGATCCACCTTTCTGTGAGTGCTGGGCTTAAAGGTATGTGCCACCACCAGCTGGCTTCTAGGTCCTCTTTATACACTTTCATCCTTTTTTGGGGTGGGTGTGGAGTGTGCTCGAAATTCAGCCTAGTAAAATCTTTTGACTTTAAATTCCCCAGACTCTCCCAAACCCAGCACATGACCCAACAGGAGAAACATCTGCCACTTCGAACCACAGAAACAGCAAAGGGGGACATGAAGTCAAACCTGGGCCACCACTTTAATCTCTGCATAAGAGAGGCCCAACTGGAATGCTAGCTTCTGGCTGATGACCACGCTGAAGTGAGGCCTCAGGGGTGTGTGGTGGAGCACAGGAGAGCCTCAGACAGGCCAGAATTCACAATCCTCCTGCCCCAGTCTCCTGAGTTATAGGGATGTTCCACAAGGTCCAGTGCTTCCTTTCCAACAGAAGTGACTCTGGTCTGGGAAACACCTACTGAATCTTCTTCCGCTTTGACTGGCGGTCTGAGGTCTGGGCCGGAGGCAGTGGGACAGACAGAGTGCCTAGTCTGTGTTCCTCTTCCCTGCCATCTGCCAGGGACACCTTTCTTTTGGAGATCTTCAGCCTCATGGCTTTTGCTATCTCAGTCATCCTAAGGAAGAAACAGAACAAATGGAGAGGAGCCCTGTGTGCGCTATTCAGGTCTGGCAGCAGGGAAGAGCACCCTGAGGTGGGCTCTCTGCTTCCACCCTCATCTCACCCCCTAGGTCCATGGAGAATTCCTCTCTGGTCACAGCAATGCAAAGCCCACAGGGTAATCCAGAACAGAGAGCTGTGGGAGGCACAGGCCTAAAGCCCAGGCACCCATTTTGGGAGTGAGGTCTTAAGAAAGTCATTACTTTTCCAGACCTTAGATTCTTCATTTGTTTTTTTGAAAATCAATGAGGGACAGTGAATAAATTCAATGCCATGCCTTACAAAGAGAAGGCACTCAAAGTGTCTTGCCAGTCAACCATTCACTCATTGAAAACTGTCCTCTTGTCCCAAGATTTTCCCCTGTCCCTTAGCCATCAGGAATAGGGACCCGCCCAGGCTCTGCAGGGGACAGTGATACTCTGCTGTGCTCACCTTTTCTCACTGAGTTTCAAGTCCCTCTGCAACAGAGTCAGGTCGATCTGGAAGTTATTTATATGCAAGGCAAGTATGATTGCATATGCAGTGATTTTGGCCTTCATAGAGCTCGAAATTAAGTTCCGTAAGCTGCAGTCAATGGAAGGGAAGGAGAAATGACGTTAAATTCCAAATGCAAATTAAGGACACCAGAGCCTTCCTCTCTGTGGTCAATGTTCCCACTCCAGGGCGCCCAAGTCTCACAGTGAACAGTGCACCAGCCCATGACAGAGAAAGCACTGCCCACGTTTTTCCCATGTGTTGTGGTAGCACTGCACTCATGGAGGCCCTCTGTATGAGTCTGTTACTGTCTGCTCAGCAGGCCTGCTGGAAGCCCCACCCTCCAACCCCCAAACTCAGTGCTGCCTTGCTGCTTCCAAGCACAGTCAGGAGCAGGAAACACAGCCCAATCGAACAGCTGCAAGCAAGCCCAGGATGCTGCTGGTGGAAGTTCTGTCTTCTAAGTCACCGCACTGGCCACCCTTTGCTGGGGCACTGCAGTCATCAGGACACTTCACTGCAGGGCCTGTCCCACAGCCAAAGACAAAATGGACACTCCCAAGGGGACAGTGTATGTGATACACTGTGTCCTTCAGAAGCCCACCAAATGGCAGTGAAATCTTTGGCACCGGATCTCTGTGGCCATGAAACTGCAAGTTCAGCCCCCGCCCCCCACTGCCACCCCCACCTGCCTTCTTCCTCATAGACATAGCCCCTGACCTGCCATTGTTGTACGTCAGGCAGGTGAACTGCTTCAGCAGCTTGGTGTTGATGATGTGGGGGATCCCAGGGCCCAGGGGACCTACAACACAGAGTCGCATCAGATCATTTTCCTGGAAAGTCCACATGCCACACATCCCCTAGAGGGTCAGAACCATCACAACAGGGAACAGGGGCCCAAGAGCCAAAGCAGCCACTTTAAGGTCAGACACACAAGAGGTGCTTGCAAAGGGGATATGAAAAGATAGAGCAAACAAACTGATGAAGACTAAGAACACAAGATACTGGAAAATAAAGCAGCCTGCAGATTGAGCCAGGGAGATGGTTCAGCAAGTGAAGATGTGTGCCGCCAAGTTCCAGCCCAGGATGCACAGGCTAGAAAAGACTGATTCCCAAGCTATGCCCCGACCACGGACATAGACAGACATTCCCCACAACTACTGCAAATAAGTAAATGGAGGCGGAAGGTGTGAGACTGGAGTGCGAAACCTGAGAGTTGGCAGGTAGCTATGCCTCCATCCTTGGTGCCTTTCACGGCAACAGTGACAGACACACCTCATACTGGAAACCCCAGGTGTCTCCTGCTGGGTTTCCAACTCTGAGTAAGAGCGTATGACCACATATGATCATGGAAAGCAGGTGGAACTGGAATTTTGTTTTTTTGGGGTTTTTTTGTCTTCGTTTTTCGAGCCCCGGTTGTCCTAGAACTCTGTAGACCAGGCTGGTCTCAAACTCGGGGGTCTGCCTGTCTCTGCTTCCTGAGTGCTGGGATTAAAACTGTGCACCATCACCACATGGAGGAACTGGAATTTTTTTTAACATTACAAACTGACTTTCTCCGTCTAAAACAAGCTGTTACAACATTATCCCCTCCCCTGCTGCTGCCAAAAGAAGAAAAAAAAAAAATGCCAAGTATGGTGGCACACACCTTTAATCCCAGCCCTCGGGAGTCAGAGGTAAATGAATCCTGTGAGTTCAAGGACAGCCTGGTCTGTATGGTAAGTTCCAGGACAACAGGGCTATACAGTGATACCGTCTTAAGAAAGAAAAGCAACCTGCCCAAGCTTCTCCACAGCAAAGCCACAATTGTTCATAATTGATGTCTGCTCTAAGAGCCTCCCTTAAATTACTTGTTTCACTTGACCTGGATACACTGCTTTTCCTAACAAACAGAGGCAGTGAGTGCCCAGCCACCCTGTCCCCATTTCCCGAATAGAAGAAAGAAGTCCAAAGAGAAGAGGGCCCTGCGAGGTTCAGGCAGGCAGCGGGAGCAGGGGAAGGGCAGGCTGCACAGAGAGGGCCTGGGCAGACACCACAGCGGTGATGAGAAACTCGTGACAAGTGACTGGCTGGAAATAACTGGGGTAAAGTGCCGGTGGGGGCTTACTTTTCCCCTTTATCACTTTCTGAGCTCGGAATCTGATGAGGGCATCTAGAAACCAGACTCTTCGGGCTTGCCGGTCGCGACTCTCCTCATCTGATGGCAGAGACTTCAGCATTTCTATGACGAAGGAGCAGTGGCTAAAACAAGGAAGGAAACAGCAGCACATGAGGGAGGCCCAGGCTGTCAGGAGCCACCCCAGCACACCATCCCCGCGCCCTGCATGTGCCTGTGCAGCCAGGCCATGGAGACTAGTCCCATCAGGGGCACAGAGGGTTTGACGGACAGACCACCACATTGGATAAGGTAGGACAGCGATAGAGGATGCCTAAAATCAACCTCCACATGCATGCCCACAGAAACACCATCACACACACATAAATACACGTACACGCACACAATCAAAAACACTTAAAAGAGTAGGGCTGGAGAGATGGCTCAGCAGTTAAGAGCACTTGCTGTGGGACCCTAGTTTGTTTCCTAGCACTCGAGTTGGGCCCTTCACAGCTGCCCTAATCATAGATCTAGAGGATCCAATGACGTCTTCTACTGCACCCATACTCATGTCATATACACACATACATAATCTCAGAAAAGAAGGGAATAATTAGAAGAAAAGGCTCAAAACTAAGAAATAATGCAGCCATCATTAAAAAAAAAAAAAACAAAAACAAAAACAGTTGTTTTAGTGGCAAAAGAGGGATAGTCTCTATGTTATTCAAAATAAATACACAGTATTTAAAATGCACGTATTTGGTTTTGGAGGAGGTGGACAGCATGCAGTTACAGAGAAGCTTCCACCCTGGGCAGCACCCACACCCATGCTTCCTGTAGGCATTGCCAGTGACAATCGGCATCAACAAACAGTGGGGTCTGGGGCTAGCTAGTGGGTCCCAGGTTACAGCACCTTGCCACCGCCCCCTACCATAGGCTGTACACACATACGCTGGCCCTCTTCCTTGAATCCAGCCACAGCCCCTGAAAGCCTAGTGTCAAAGCTCCTTCATTCCAACGCTGAGCAAACACCTCCCACAGACCAAAAGGTGCTAATTTCTGCATGGTATCTGCAAGGCCTTGCTTCGTATTGGACTGCTATTTCCCATCATGACTCCCAGAAATGCCATCTGCCCAACGTACCTGTTCTCTTCAATCATCTTCAGTATGTCTTCTGATGTGACCTTTCTGAAGGCTTCAGATGGGCTCTCCAGAGCGTCATACTCAGCTGGGGACAGAACTGGTTGCAGGTCAAGAACATGACTGACCAAAATGGAAACCACTGAGCTAAGTCACCCCACAGGGCACCAGGTAAGAAAGCTAAGGCTCACAGAGAAGGGACTCGCAGAGGAAGGAGGGCAGAGCTCGGGGACCTGCATCTCAGACCCCAGCCCAGGGGTCACTTTCTGCCTGGCCCGCTCTCCCTTCTCCTCATCAGAGCCTCTGCCAGCATTTTCCAGTTAACCAGACCCACTGAGCAGTGAAGGTCTAGGTTGCAACCCTTCTTCAGTATGTCTGCTCAAGACTGTGGGACCAGCCAACTGTCTGTGGAGAATGACCCCCACAAGGCCAAGCTATGTCCGTTTGTCCTGTGGGCCTCTCAGTGCCAGGAAACCTAACCAACCAACCTCTTGCCAACAGCACTGGGAAAAGATCTGGATATCACGTTTATTAATGGCACAGGACCACGACCGCCCTTACACAGCCTGGCTCCGCCAATATGTACAGATACCACGGCCTGCAAAGTAGGCACCTTTCCAACAGCAAGGATACTGTCTTCAAATCTGTACACGTCTTCAGGCTTGGCTGCGTCAGCGTGGCAGGGAGGAAGGTAGAGGGAGTCATCCTGCGTGTCATCCTGCAAGGCGTCGCTGACCAGAGCTTTCAGTGAAAGAAAAGTAACATCAGTGTCCCCGTCTGGTTTCAGGGTCCCCAACACTGTGTGAACCGTGAGCAGGGGAGACCACGTGCTCTAAAACTCAAATCTGAACACCTGCCAAGATCTAACTGCCCATCTGGCTGATCTCCAGGAGTCACAGCCATGTGGAAGGTGGCTGTACTGTGTTTGTCCCCTGGCAACTCACACCAGAGTTAAAAGAGACGTGTGGCAGTAAGGAATTACTGCCTAACATCAGAGAAGCCACAACCCTGGCCAGGGGCAGGGCGTGCACATGTCCCTTCCTGTGCCTATGTCCTCCCCGGGCCTGAGGACAGGACAGTGTCATGTCTCTCCTGCTTCCAGAGCCGCTCCTGAGAAGAGCCTCAGCAAGCGGTGGGAAGGAATGCAGCCCTCTGGCCCAGCACTTGCTTCTGTGACAGATGCCCGGTCTTTCCCAGGCGCCAGCTGCTCACCATTCACCCCCTTCGTGTCGATGATATTTTCCGCAGCTTTAGCGACTGTGAGATTCAAAGATTCGCTGCCGACTTTGTTCATTCTCCTGGAGTTCAGGGACCGCTTCTGCTTGGTGCTTCCAAAGGCTTCAATGCAAGAATCCAACTGCGCAAGGAACACCTCCAGTCACTAAGCACAGCCTGGGCGGCACAGCTGTTGCCAGCTGTGTACGCACAAGCAAGCTGTGCGCTCCCTGAGCCTGGACTCCCTCACCTGCCAATCGGGCCAAGCCCTTCTCATACCTGTCCACCTCACGGCACTGTTTCACAACAACACTGAGGTTCGCTGCACTGACTCCCATGTACGAGTCTGTAGAGTTCCTTCAGTACAAAAAGACTCGACTAGCGTTTGGGCCTACCAATTCTGCATCAGGAATACACCTTGTTAACAAACCACGCCCTCTCCCGGGCCACAGCGTGGTCTTGCGTTCTCAGCAGCGCATGCACGCAGCACTGCAAAGTTAACCTGCCGCCCTGGGCTGTGATCACGTCTCTGAGCCTCCTCTGCATTGAGAAGTGCAAAGAACTTACGTTGTCTATGTGGATTCCCAAGCACAACAATGTCCTACAATGTGGACCAAAACCTAAGAAGTTTGCTGCTACGTTCCATCAGCCCAGATGCTGACACTAGCTGTTCACCTCGCCAGCACACCAGCAGGTCTGCTCCTTGGGAGACCAGAAGGCCTCTGCAGGTAGCGACCAGGCGCAGACCCACAGACCGACTGAGCTACAGCAGCCAGTGAGGCCGGAGTTCAGGGGGCTGGTACACTTATGGGAAAGCAGGCCCAGAAGGGGCTTCCTTCTCCGTCGCTCACCTTCTCCCTGAAAGTCTTGTTCTGATTCTCCAAGGGAGGCGGAGGCTCAATAGCATCTTCTGTGGAAACAGAGAACAGGAAGAGAACAGGAAGACAGTGTACCGTGAGGTTCACAGATGTGTTTTACTGTTGTTTTAGTGAGGTCTCACTGCGCTGTCCACGATGGCCTTAAACTCATGAGCTTAACTGATGCCTTGGACTCAACCCCAGCCACCGAGCTCGGCTCTGCAAGGCCTTAAAAATATTCATAGTGCTCAGTAGTAACTTAACATGAACCTAAGGAAAACATATCCATATTCCAAGATTTCCCTAACATGTACGTACACCTCAGTACATGGGTAAGAGAACTGGGAAATAGGTGTCCTCTGCTCCAGCCGCTTAATTCATAAACAAGGAAAACTGAGGCCTGTAGACATAGTGACTGGCCTCCAAAGGCCAGAGAGGATCAGAAACCAAATCCTTGTCTCTTCCCAGAAGTAGATTTGCTTTGCTGGTCAAAGACCTAAAGGCAGTTGTACACATAAAGCAGATTTTCACATGACACTATCCAACCTTCCACAAAGTATTCAAGTAGTGGGCAGTATAACCCAGTGAGCAAGAACACAAGCCAGGCCTAAGATAGCTCAGTAGCAGGTCACCTGACTAAGCCAAGTTCCAACAGTGGTTTAAAAAAAAGGAGTAACAGTACGTATAAAGTAATTATGTGGTGTTTATGCAAGGTGTTCAGAAAAGTGACAAGCATATAGCAAGGACCAAAATTAAAGTTTGGTGGGCACTAGCCAGAACAAGCTAGTACTTATGAGCTACGTACACAAAGGTATCGACAAAAATTAAACAACTTCAGAGTCTGAGGAGAAGACCCAGCGGTTCAGAGCACTTGCTGCTCTTGCAAGAGGACCCAGGTTCGTTCCCAGCACCCACATGGAGGCTAACAACCAGGTGTGACTGCAGTCCCAGAGGATCCAATGCCTCTTTAAACCCATGCATATAAAATAAACTTTTTTTTTTTTTTTTAAAGAATGTAAATAATTTAACCTTACTGGGTTGGCAGAAGGCCAGCAAGAAAAGGTGTTTGCCACTAAGTCTGAGGACCTGATTCCCATTCCTGGATCTGCATGTTGAAAGGAGAAGATCAACTTGCTTGAATTGGCCCGTGACCTCCACACATGCACTATGGTGTGGGTGTGCACGCATATAAGATAATGAAGAAATATAATGATTTTAAACCTGCATGGAAATTTCAAAACCGCATAGATGGCTGCAAGTGCAGCGAGCTTGCTGTCCAAACACGAGGGCCTGCGTGTGGGTCCCCAGCCCCATGTGAAGCGAGTTGTGATCTGGTACCCCACAGTAAGACGGGGAGCAGAGACAAGAGAACCCTAGGTTGCGAGCTCACTCGGAACCAACAAGACACGCTGTCTCAAACAGGTAGGTTCAGACTGACGCGGAGGCTCCGTTCTGAGCTCTACATGCGTGCTGTGGCGCAGGCCCACCTGCGCTCACACAGGGAGAACTAAAAGCCTGTGATGGAAACGCATGCGCATGCATGTTCTGTACTGATGACTAGTCATCTCGCCCTAAAGGCTGGTGCCTGACCCCACATCTGTAATCGCTGAAAAGACAGGATCTGACTTATTATCCACATAGTAGGAAATCAAAAAATGATTAATTTAAAAATATGTATCTATAATAACTTTCTAAATTAAAAAAGAAAAACAAAAAAACACCTAGCAAGAATATATCCTTTATGGCTGAGGATAATCTGTTTGCCCAGCACACACAGAGTTCTGAGTTCACACCCTCACCGTACACAGGTGTGTGTACGGTGGCACACACCTGTAACGCTGGCACTCAGGCGGGAGGACCAGAAATTCAATGCCATCCTCACCCACCCAGCAGATTTCAAGGGCAGCCTGGACTACATGAGACCTTGTCTCAAAAAAGTGTGTTGGGGGAGGAACCCACTTAGAAAAAAATTACAAATGCATTTTAGAAGCAAACATGAACTCATCCAACAAACCCAACCTACACAGCCTTTAACTGAATCATCACGTGAGGAACCTACCAGCAAACAGTGGCTGCATGTTGAACAATTCAGCATCATATACTTCCATCTGGCCAGAGGTCTTATTCAGAATTCCCACAAAGTGTCTAAGTAAAACAAACAAAAAAAAGGAATAATACCATAATAGGTTATTCAAAAGGTATTGTTTACACAATTCCCTTTCCTATTTACAAGCTCCCAGCTTCTCTCTACCAAAGGAAGGCATCCACTTGCTTACATCTAACGATAATCTCTTTGTGGAGAGGGAAGACAGGAGGTGATAAAAAGGGAGGGGACATAGATGGCTGAGGACTGAAAAAGCCAGCAGCGGGTTCTGACAACCAATCGCATTTAGAGCAGCCGCTCTTACGTGGAACCCTTCTGAGGTAATAATGTAGACTTAAACTAGAACTGTTGGCCCACTATAACTTTATGGAGACAGATACAAGTAAAACCTTGTTCCTCCTGGGGAGAGATCGATGTGAAGCAGGGATGACACAGTGTTAGGATTTAATCTGCGTCAAGGCTGAGGCCCAGGACGACTCTGAAAGGCCTTCCTGTGATTCCCTGTTGTGTCATGGGGCCCTATCTACACTGTGTTCTGTGAATTAGACTTTTGAGGCTGGACACACTCTTACACAGAAGACACCAGAAGTGAGTGTGGGGCAAAGCTGCCAGGGCCATTCATGCCACCAGTGACCCTGCTGGAGGATGATGCTGTTTCAACCCAGAGCCTTGAAGATACCAAATCCTCTGTCCCAAGGCAAACTTGAGGCAAGCTTTGACCTACTGATCACATTCTAAGTTAGCCGACATAGCTGTCTTTTAGGCTAAGACAGTCACAAATAACATCACACATAAAGGAGGTCCTTAGAAACCTAACAGATGCAGGTCATCTTTTCCTTTCCAGGTGTGTCTGGGTCTTGGTAAGCCTGCAGATCCATCTAACTGCCCCCGAAATAAAGACCACCACCACTACAACCCCGCTTTCACCTCTGTCACTGCCCCAGTCGTCCATTACCTGCAAAGAGTGTTGCACTTGAGGGCACCAGTCCCAAAGTTGTTTGCAACATAGGAGAGCCTGTCTGTTTCAGCTGCCTGAAAAACAGGGAGGGCTCCATTAGGAGCCAGCATTGAAAGGCACTGAGCCTGGGCTTGTTTTCACTGGGGCCTCAGGATCCAGGACCACAATGTACCAGCCCCAGAAACCTCCCAGATGATCCGCCTGTCATCTCTACAAGAATCTCAGGTGTCTCTTGGGGAGAAGGCAAGAAAACTTTGGGAAGGGAACCCCAAAGTGATAGGGAGTGACACGTGGGGATTGCATGAAATTAAAAAGCTTCTACACAGCAAAACAAATACTACCCAAAGTTTAGAGACAGCCTATGGAAAGGGATAAATCTTTGCCAAGTAGTAATAGTATTAGTCAAACAAGGGATTAATATCTAGAACATACAAAGAACTATAAAATTTAATTACCAAAAAAAAAAACCCCAAATAATCTTGTCAATAAGTAGGCTGATGAGCTGAATAGACAGTTCTCAAAAGAAATAACACAAATTGCCAATAAATATTTGAAAAGTATTCAACACCTTTAACCATCACAGAAATGCAAATTAAGGCTTTTTTGACGCCTGCTGAATTGGCTCAGTGGGCAAGGCATTTGTGATCCAAATGACAACCTGAGCTAGATCCCCAGAACCCACAGGTAAAAGAGCAGAACCAATTCCCTAAATTGTCCTCTGACTTACTAACACACCACACCTCACACACACACACACACACACAGACACACACACACACAAACACTTTCTCACACAAAATAAACTTTAAAAATAAAAAAGCAAAACCTACTTTGAGGGCCAGCAAGATGACCCAGTGAATAAAAGTGCTTGTTACTAAGCCTGACGACCTGACTTCAATCCCCAGGACCCACGTGTTAGAGAGAACTGCCTCCCCCAAGTTGTCCTCTGACCTCCAGTCGCGCACCACAGCATCTGGGCATCCCTTCCTCCTCTTCAAACACACACAAATAAGTAAATGTTTTTAAAAATTGCTTTGAGATTCCATCACACCCCAGTCAGAATGGCTAGTACCAAAAAAAAAAGCAAACAACAATGCCAGCAAAGACATGGGGAAAGAACCATTATTCACTGCTGGTAGGAATGTGAACCGTTGCTGCCACAATGGAAGTCGGTCCGATGGAGGGTCCTCAAAAGAGAAAATTGAAACTGCTGTATGAGGCACTTGTTCGACTCCTAGGCATACACCCAAAAGGACTCTTCGGTCAGCGCACAGCACACACACTTCTACAACCATGTTTGCTGTGGCCCTCTTCACAAAAGCCTGGAAATGGAACAGCCTAGCCCGTCATCCACAGAAAAACGGAAAAAGAAAATGTGGTACATATCCACTACAGAATTTTTTTCAATCATAAAGAAAAATAAAATCACAATATTGGTGGGAAATTATTAAATTAAGTGAAATACATCAGGGTTAGAAAAACAGATACTTTTTTCCCCCATATGCAGGATCTAGATTTAAATGTGTGTGTATGCCTGTGCACACAGTCGGGACATGAACATAGCAAGGAATCGTGAGAAAAAGAGATGCAGAGAAGAGAAATGAGAGCGTAATATAACATGTTAGCAATGAGATACGTGCGGGTTGTGGGTGTTTTGCCTATAAGCATGTCTGTGTGCTTTGTTCGTAGTGCCGGCGGAAGCCAGAAGAGGGTGTTGAGTCCCCTGGGACTAGAGTTACAGACAGTATGTGTCTCTGTTGATGCTGGAAACTGAAGCCAGGTTGTCTGGAGGAGCAACAAGTGCTCTTTACTACTGAGCCATCTCTCCTGCCCAGGATGTCATGCAGAGGGGCAGGGGAACAGGGGGCATGGAGGAGGGCAGTGGGCAGAAGGCCGTGGGAATACTGATGAAAATTTTAAAGTGAGAGGAAAAAGTTCTTGAGTGAGCAGCACCACAGAACTAGACGGTTAGGTCTTCAAGCACTTATGGGGGCCGTGACTGTCAGTAATTGCCTTGGCCCAAGACCTAGATCTCTGCCAACCTTTCTGATACGAGCTCTTCCTATATCCCCAGGGACACTGGAAATGGCTGGCTAGCTTCCAATCACAGCCAAGCTTTTCTTCGCCTTCTTTTCACTTTGGACACCAAACCTCCCCCACTCCAAGGCATCATTCCTAGGAAGGAGTCAGACAAGCAGAGACTTCTTTCTCTGCTGAGCTCCCTTAGACCCCAAGCTTTGTCTATTGTGTGTGTGTACTACTTGGAGAGCTTGCATCTCTGGAAAGCAGATGTTCTTAACTCTGGCATCTACCAGACAGAGACCAGAGATGCCAATAAACACCCTGTGCAGCCTGGCTGTGGTGGCGCACGCCTTTAATCCCAGAGCCTGGCACTTGGGAGGCAGAAGTTGGTGGATCTCTTGAGTTCAAGGCCAGCCTGATCTACAGTGTGAGTTCCCAGGACAGCCAGGGCTACATAAAGAACCCCTGTCTCAAAAAACAACAACAGAAAGCATCTTCTCTGGGATCAGGGGTACTGGCTGCAGTTCCAGGGGGCCTGATTCCCAGGACCCACAAGGTGACTCACAACCATCTGTAACTCCAGTTCTAGAGGATCATATCTAGCCTCCACCAGCCACACACACGGTACACAGATAAAATGAAAAACACCCACACACAAAATAGTATTGAAGCCGAGCTCTGAAGAGTGAGTCTCCTAAGATTTGCAAATTTCATTTAGGTGCTTCCTTAGCCTGCTACATGAGGACGGACGTGGTTAATACTCAGTAAGTTCATGTTGGGAGAAAAAACACATGAAGCTGTGAGTGGCTAGTAGTGCATACTTTTAATCCGAGCACTAGGGAGGCAGAGACAGGTGGATCCCTGAGTTGGAGACCAGCTAGCCAGGTCTACATAGCGAGTTCTAGGATAGCCAGGGCTAATACAGAAAGCTAAAACTCAAATGTAGGAAAAGTCATCAGTTCATCCAAAATCTTGCTACTCAATGGAGCCACAGTCCCATTTATCGCACAGTCCCTGCTTTTCTCCCCCTCTGTCCCTCCCACATCTGCCACACCAAGAACCTGCTGAGGCCCTCAGCGCCCAGACAACCTGCACCCGCAGCACTCACCAGGATCCGGTGGCTCCTCTGCCTGGGGTTTCCCGAGTCGCTGCTGTTGTACAAGGTGAAGCGCATGTTGCCTGGATTCTGCAGCTTCCCATTGGAGAACTGGACTGTAACAGTGTAACCCAAGAATGAGCTGAGAGCAGGTCCAGCAGGCTGTGGTGGGGAGCCCGTAGCGAAGGCAAGGGAGTTCACGTCCAACTTTTAGGGGGACTGAAGGAAGTGCTAGTCTAGTTTTAAAGAGGGAGATGGAGGAGGGGTGGGGAAGCGACCTCTGCGCAGGGGTTGCGACAAAAGAAAATGACTGAGGGAATGTCCGCAACTGGCAGGAGAGGGAACGCTGCTCCGCAGAGGAGAAAAAGGGCGAATGAGAGACCTGCTGAGGTGGCAGGTCCTGGGAACTGCCCTGAGAAGTGTCCTCGCGTGGCTGTGAATGGGGACAGACGGCTGGGGGTAGGGGGAGTGGCGGGAGCCCTGTCCCAGCTCCTGGCAATGGGCAGGAGGGCAATCGCGGTTCCCAGAGGGAAGGGGATGGGGCTACGCAGAACTCTGCTCTGGCCCAGCAGTCTTTACCCAGCACAGCTTTCTGCCTGTCGTCAGGCTCTCCACAGTACAGCCACCTTGCACTCTGCAGCACCTCTGTCTCCGTGTCTCCAGTCTGGCCATCGAGCTCGAGAGACGCCGGAGCAGCCATGAGTTCGCCGGTTCACACGCGGACCCCAAAACCGGAAGTGGCGTTCTGGGCCCTGCCCAGAGCACGCGAGCAGTGAAGCCACGCCCCTCGCAGGGTGGAGCTTCGTTCCCGCCCACTCTTAGGCTCCTCCCGCGATGAGCACGCCCCCTGTGTGAGGTACAGTACCTCCTCTTTCATGGGAGAGATCGACAAATGAGCACCTTTGCTTTAGTGACATACTGCTCACTACGGGCTCTAAGCTATCAGACCAATCATAGACCAAAATCTCCAAAACTGTGAACCAAAGTGAAAGGAAGCTTTCCTCTTTGCGAGCTGTGTGGCTCTTGTTGTTTTAGACAGGCTATCACGGTGCGTGTAATCCTGGCTGACCTGGAACTCCCTCTGTTAATCAACCACAAATCCTGGCCACAAATCCTCAGGGATCCGACGCCCAGCTTGGTCTCACATACTTTGTTACAGCGTTAGAAAAAAAAAAATGACAAATGTAAGTCCTGTAATTTCAATACAGCCACCAGAATAAGAAAACTAACATTGATGCAACCATATAAACCTCCCATATTCAAATTCACTAACTGCCTCAATGCTGCCTTTAAAGCTGAAAGATCCGGCCAAAAATCCTGCTGCAGCCCGATATTAACACCTTACTCGTGATCCCAGCCTTAGAGGACTGCCAAGCATGTGAGGCCAGCTTGGGCTCAAGAGAAAACTGTCACACACACAAATCATGGTTTCCTTTTAGCTCTCACAGCTCTTTGTCTGGCTGGAGAGTTACTTTCTTTGACCCTACCCAATGATTTTCAATTGATCGTTTTTTCCAGAAAGAAAAATAAAGATGAAAAGCACTTCAATGTCATTCATCTACCTCTTCTGTCAATCTTTTCCATACAAAGCTTATTTGAAGTTAATAACTAACGTTGGAGCTAGTCAGAAACGATTCATTGTTAAATTTCTTTATTTGGTTCCCTAGAAGGAATGGTGTGGTAACGCAAAACTGCTCATTTGATGGCTAAGCATAAAAGGAGGAAGAAGGGGCTGAGGTCCCGGATTCCCTTTAGGCTCTGGCTGTCTTCAGACTCCACCTGCCCCACAGTTCGTAAGGTTGACGGAACTTGATATCCTCCCAACAAGTGCTGGGATTACAGACACACATAATCACATCCAGGCAGAAAGTTTATTTCTTTTCTTTCAGTTCTGCACCTTCAACTCCAGGGAGGTCCTGTAAAAATGGAGACTGTCAATAAATGTCAAAGGAGAGAGCTGGCAAGGTAGCTCAGCAGATAAAGGCACTTTGCCACCAACCTTGATGGAGTTCCTAGAACCCCCTGATAAAAGAAGAGAGCTTACATGGTAGCATATACCTGCATACACTATATATATATTGAACAAGTGAATGAAAGGCTAGGTAACAGGTCGGAGTAAGTCTCTTAATGCTTGGAGCCTAGAACAGGGAGTACATCTCAGACATGCTTAGTAATGTTCTTGAAACCCATTAGCATATGGCTTGTACATAACAGATACTCTGCAAGTGTCTACAGGTTGAATGAAAATGAACAGTTATATCAAAGTTAAGAAGACTGTAGTATAAGGACTCAAATGCAGTCCTTGAGGTAAGTGTCTGGACCCCTCTATAGCATAGGGACACGATGGCCTTTAGACTCAAGGTGTCATGGCCTGTGGAAACAGCAGCGTCATTATTTGGGGGACCTTCTGACTGGAAATCAGCATGTGATTTCCAAGGGCAGGAAGCTCTGTTACACCAGAATGAGTCCCCTTTGTGACACCTCTTTGCCAGTAGAATGTAAACACTGAAAGTCCTCCTCTGTTACACCAGAATGAGTCCCCTTTGTGACACCTCTTTGCCAGTAGAATGTAAACACTGAAAGTCCTCTGGGTTGGCTGCTCTGTCACTGATGGGAGAGTGAGGATCCCCGAAATTACCACAGGCAAGAAAGAATTCAAAAGATAGCGAGTCTGCTCAAGAAAGGAAGTGTTGACACAGGGCAGCTGGGTCGGAAGTGTAGTGTACCCCAGTGTTGTTCAGGTTCTTAACAGTCACTTGAAATACACAGACAGCATATGCATACGCGGACAGTAAATGATAAATGAGATGGGACAGGATGGCGGGAACATTTCTTCAAGGAGCAATCTAAAGTCAAAACTATACAGTGGTCCCTTTTGGATTAAAAGCATGGTGGCACATGCCTGTAATCCCAGCACTTTGGGAGGCAGAGGCAGGCGGATCTCTATGAATTCGAGGCCAGCCTGGTCCACAAAGAGAGTCCAGGGCAGCCAAGGCTACATACAGAAATCATATCTTGAAAAAAACCAACCAACCAACAAAAAAAGCATGGGCTACTGAGAGTGTGCAAAACTTACCACACAAATATTTACTTCTTCAATTCAGTTCGGAGTTGCAGATTCAGAGACATCTGGAATTCTCTTTTGATACGTTTTTAAGAAAAGGAAAACTTGAATTTTAAGTTGGGTGAGGGCTGAAAATTTCTCCTTTTCGAGGGCAACATCGCCATCTGCTGGTGTTTCAGGGCATCGCTGATAAAGGAGGAAATGCAAGGGAGAGGTTTGCAGTGATTACCCAGAACTCCAAAACGACTTTTTTCATCTTATTTCTCCTCTTCTTTTCTTTCGCCTCTACCCCTTTTTCTTTTTCTTCTTCTGTGTTGCCTCACTCTTCTTTCTTCTCTACTTTTTCCTTTCTCTTCTGTATCACTTGTGCAAGCTGCACAAACAGCTATAAACATGGCTTTGTAAGGCTAACTTCAGAGAGGACAGATTTTTTTGTTGTTGTTTGTTTGTCTTCCTTGCACAGACCTAAATCTGCAGCAGCTTCTACCTGTGACTTGAGTTCTGATCTGCAGGGCCATGGAGAAACCAATAAATCTCTGTGCCAGAGCCTTGCAATAATCTCCCTCCTCCTCCTTCTCCCTGTTGTCTCCCTCCTCCTTGTTGTCTTCCTCCTCCCCCTTTTCCTCCTTCCACGATTTCCATTCACTTGCTTTGGCAACTCCTTCCCACCTCTCAGCTGTTCCTCACACACCAACACTTGTAGCTCTTTTTTCATTGTGGTTACCCCTGTGAGCCATATGCCCATTAGATCGTGCTTCAAAAACTGTATGCCACAAAATTGGAACACCTAAATGAAATGGATGATTTTCTTGATAGATACCACTTACCAAAGTCAAGAGTAGGTTAACAATTTAAATAAACCTATAATCTTAAGGAAATAGAAGGAGTCATCAAAAGCCTCCCAACCAAAAAGAGCCCTGAGACAGATGGTTTTAGCACAGAATTCTACCAGACTTTCAACGAAGAACTAATGCCATGACAAAAACTATTCCACAAAATAGAAACAGAAGGAACAAACATTGCTAAACTCATTCTATGAGGCCACAGTCACCCTGATACCTAAACAACACAAAGACCCAACAAAGAAAGAGATTTTTCAGACCAATCTCCCTTACAAACATTGATGCAAAAGTACTCAATAAAATACTCGAAAACCAAATCCAGGAACACATCAAAAATATCATCCACCGTGATCAAGTAGGCTTCATCTCAAGAATGCAGGAATGATTCAACATACAAAAATTCATCAACATGATCCACCATATAAACAAACTGAAAGAAAAAAAAAACATGTGATCATCTCATTAGATGTTGAAAAGGCCTTTAACAAAATCCAACACCCCTTCATGTTTAAAGCTTGGAGAGATCAGGGTTACAAGGTACATACCTAAACACAATAAAGGCAATATATAGCAAGCCTATAGCCAACATCAAGTTAAATGGAGAGAAACTTAAGGTGTTCCTGCTAAAATCAGGAACAAGACAAGGCTGCCCACTCTCACCATATCTCTTCAATATAGTACTCAAAGTTCTAGCTAGAGCAATGAGACAAGTAAAGGAGATCAAGGGGATACAAATTGGAAGAGAAGAAGTCAAAGTATCACTATTCAACGATATGATAGTATACATAAGTGACCCCCAAAGATTCTACCAGAGAACTCCTGCAGCTGATAAACGCCTTCAGCAAAGTGGCTGAATATAAAATTCACCCAAAAAAGTCAGTAGCCCTCCTTAATACAAGCGACAAATGGGCTGAAAAAGAAATTAGGAAAACAACACCCTTCACAATAGCCACACAAAAATATAAAATATCTTGGTGTAACTCTAACCAAGCAAGTGAAAGACCTGTATGACAAGAACTTCAAGTATTTGAAGAAAGAAATTGAAAAAGATTTTAGAAGATGGAAAGCTCTCCTGTGCTCATGGATCAGTAGGATTAACATAGTAAAAATGGCCATCCTGCCAAAAGCCACGTACAGATTCAATGCAATTCCCATCAAAAGTCCAACACAATTCTTTTAGACCTGGAAAGAGCAACCATTAATTTTATATGGAAAATAAAAGAGCCAGGATAGCCAAATAAGTCAACATCCCTGATTTCAAGCTATACTACAGAGCAATAGTAATAAAAACTGCATGGTATTGGCATAGAAATAGACAGGTTGATCAATAGAACCAAATTGAAGGGCCAGAAATAAACCCACACTTCTACAGGCACTTGATTTTCAACAAAGATGCCAAAACCATACAATAGAAAAAAAGAAAGCATCTTCAACAAATGGTGCTGGTCTAACTGGATTCTGCATGTTGAAAAATGCAAATAGACCCAAATTTATCATCCTGCACAAAACTCAAGCCCAAGTGGATCAAAGACCTTGACACAAAACCAGAGACTCTAAATCTATTAGAAGACAAAGTGGGGGAAAATGTCTGAAAATCATTGGCACAGGAGACAAATTCCTGAACAGAACACCAACAGTACAGGCTCTGGGATCAACAATTAATAAGTGGGATCTCATGAAACTGAGAAGCTTTTGTAAGTCAAAGGATACTGTCAATATAAGAAAATGGCAGCCTACAGATTGGGAAAAGATCTTCACCAACCCTAAATCAGACAGACATCTAATCTCTAAAATAAAGAACTCAAGAATTAAACA